AACTTAAGGGCTCTAATACAGGGCACACACAGACTATCAAACACTGTGAAAATTGTACAAACAAAAGACAAAAGAGATGATTGTGACATATTAAAAATTTTAAACTTATGTGCATCAAAAGACTTCACCAAAAGAGTAAAAAGGGAACCCACAGAATGGGAAAAAATCTTTTGCAACGACACATCAGACACGAGACTAATTTCTAAACTATATAGGAAACTATAACATCTATACAGGAAAAAGACAAATAATCCAATTAAAAACGGGTACAGGACATGAACACACATGTCACCAAGGAAGACATTCGGGCATCCAACAAACATATGAAGAAATGTTCACGATCACTAGCCATCAGAGAAATGTAAATCAAAACAGCAATGTTATCATCTCACACCAGCAATAACAGTGAAGTTCAAAAAAGTAGAGGACAATATATGCTGGCAAGCATGTGGAGAGACTGGGACCTTCCTACATTGCTGGTGGGATTGCAAAATTGTCCAACCATTCTGGAAAACAGTATGGCGCTTCCTCAGAAGGTTGGAAATAGAAATAGCTTATGATCCAGCAATCCCTCTACTTGGTATTTACCCACAAGAAATATGAGTCACAACACAAGTAGATATGTGCACACCAATGTTCATAGCAGTACTATTTACAATAGCAAAAAGATGGAGACAGCCTAAGTGTCCATCAATGGAAGATTGGATAAGCAAACTTTGGTACAATTACCCAATGTGATATTATGCTACTTTGCAGAATAACAAGGAAGCTGTAAGCCACCACATAACATGGATGAACCTTGAAGACATTATGCTGAGTGAAATTAGTCCATCACAAAAGGAGAAATACTGCATAAGACCATTATTGTAAAAGCTTAAGAAAAAATACCCACACTAAAAGGGAAACAAAATAAAAATCTTTATTGGTTACTGGGGGTATAGTGGGTGTGGCAAGAGGAGGGAAGGTAAGGTAGAGCACAGGGTGGGGAATAGACACATGATAGTTCAGGTGTTGTGGGGAGCGCAATACACAAGAAGGGGGAGGGGCATGGAAGAACAAGGTGGATAGGAGAACATTAGGCAAGTTTGCGTGGGTTAAATGGCACAGAAGTAAATAGTGATGCATGTTCAACCTTGGAACAACAGGGCTCTGGGATGCAGGGATTGAGGCATAATTTGAATGGGTAAAAGAGGGGAAATAATGTTAAGGTGTTTGACTGTATTATGAGTCTTGGTTTCTCTTGCCCACTATTGTAAAATAGACACTTGAGGGGGAGGGAAAGGAATAGCCAGAAACATCACTATAGAAAGCTTGTAAGTTCATCTTCAGCCTGTCACTGATTGGACTACCTAAAAGGGGGGCTAGAACTTGCCCAGTGAAAGTGGCTTTCTGAGGAGACTTTGCAGTGTATAAGACCTTAGGTGGAATCCTGATCCACATCCAGAATTTTCTTGAAAAGACAAGCAGAGTATCCTGGAGCAGCTAGAGGAACAGAAGATACTTCTTGAAAGAAAGACCAGCAGGAAAAATTACAAACAATAACAGCAGTCTATTGACTACTACAAGAGCAAGCAAGTTGTTCGCTGGAGAGCCATCAAGGTAAGCAATCAAGTCCCCTCAGGGCAAACCCCCTTCCAAGACTGAAATTCAAAGGGAATACACAAGCCGGCATGTAATCTTGCTGGTTACCATGTTGGTCTACCAATAAGGGGAAGTGTAGGGGAAAACAGCAATGAATCTGTGGGCTAAGTCCAACCACATTCAATGGACTCCCCTTAACCTGGATTGAGACCTGATTGGCCAGCAGTATAGCAAGACTAGGGGACTTCTGAGCCCATGGACAGGGACATAGCCATAGAGGATTAGAGCAGAGAGTGAAGTGTCCAGCTGATATAAAGTGAGGAGAGATGCACAAGAATGCCCATGCTTGCAGATAGTACCCATTTGACCTAGCTGCGATGGCTGGATGTTCAGAACTCGACTAGAGGAAGAAAGAAGAGGGGGGAAAGTGCAATCTGCTCCAACTTGATGAACTTGACACATACTTATGGATGTAGTAGCTTAAAAGAGGGAACGAATGTTTACAGTAAAGATCATTCCCACCCACTCTGTACACAGGGTTTACAGGGATGGGCAACTTAGACATTGGTTATCCAAAGTTGGGAGGCTATAAAGGTGCAGAGTGACTGGCTTACAAGTTTTCAAGAGGGAGCTTAGTTTCAGAGGGTGCGGGGGAAGGTAGAATATCTACTGAGTAGTTCCCAACCTGTCTAGATGGGGCTGGTAAAAGGAGATGGGGAGAAAACTCTTATGGTTCAATAGAGAAAATTGTTATCAGGACTGATTGTGATTGTTGCAAATGTAAAGGTAGACGTGTTGTAATAAATGGTCCAGGAGCAGAGAACCCTGGGAGTATCAAGGGAGAAGAGCAGAGTGCACCTATCCAGAGAGCGACACTAGAGTTGAAGGCAGAGATGAAGTAGAGAGATGGAGCGGCTGGGGACTCTAGACTCAAGGAGGGAGAGGGGCTGAGTGCTGGTGGCTGGGGGGGAGGCTTGTGGGATGTAACCTTTGGTTGTTTGAATGGTTATATATTCCTAAATGCTTCAGTGTACATCCAAAAAAACCCAGAGGGAATGGAAGCAAATGGAGGGGATTGTAGTCATTGCAATGAAATAAAATACGATAGGATGAATATAAAGCTGATGTTCTCCCATATAAACTATCACTCAATTTACAATAAAAACTTAAAAAAAAAAAAAATTCCATGCAAGGTGTCCATCATGACATCACCTTTTAGCTGAGTCTTCTGCAGGTTGTGTCCTCTGGTCCCAGCCCTCTGTTCTCTCCCCACCTATTGCTGGGCCTCACAGGTTGAAATGGAGTTTGGGAGGGAATGTAACTGAATACGGCATTGTTCCTATTTTTTCCTTTTCTTTCCATCTTCCATTATGGTGATTGGCTGCTGCTGTTTAGTTTTGTATTTTGTGTGGTTTTCAATTAATGTACACTTCCTGGCATAGCAAGGATGGTGAGAAAAAGACTCCATCTGGGTCAGGTTAGGAAGGGGTCACATGGGAGAATCTCAATTTATGCTACTGGGGCCAATAATTTTGCACATAGCATAGTCTTGAAATTACATATTGAGACTTTCATCTTACCATGACACATATTTCTGTGTTGATCGATTCAGCCAAGAGATCTTCAGAGCAGAGGGAAGGTGGTTGCTGGATCACCATGGAAACTGACACTGGAGGTTGGCCTGCAGTGTAGGCTTGGCCTAGTGTGGACAGGACACCCTTGTAATGGTGCTCTAAGGGACTCAACAGGGAATGCCTCCACTCTGTGTGGTCTCTGGATGCAGGGACATGAGAGGCAGGTGGTCAGGTCCCACGTGAGTGAGCAAAAGTCTAAAGGGAGGGTACAAGACTTAACAGTAGGTGAGCAAAACTCCAGTCCTAGTGATGAGGAATGGGACAGGGCCAACTTGAAGCTGTGCTTGCTGTTGTTGTTGTTGATGTTTAGTGCCATTGAGTCGATTCCAACCCATAGTGACCTTGTATAGGGTTTCCAAGGAGCAGCTGGTGAGCTTGAACCTCCCACCTTGCAGTTCAAATGACTTTGTAGTCTGACGCATTAGCCCACAGAGCCACACCAGGACTCTGAAGCTGTGCTTGAAAGACATGAATTTACTGATGACATATCTACACAGCTGACCCCTGGTAAACCTCCTACCTGCATCTAGGCTGACTTCAAGCAATGGTCATTGACCCTGGCCAAACAGAGGACTCACACAGCACATTTGAAAATAATAGCAATATCCTTTCCCCACATCTAGAAAATGCTATTTTATTGATGCAGGTTTTGTGTATGTCATTAAAGCTCCATGATGATCTTATTAGCTCATTAGAGGCAAGAGCACTGAAGGTGACTTAAACCAAATCTGAAAGTAGACCTTTCTCTCTTCAGGTGCTGACAGAAAGCTGGGCAGGTAAACTTTGACCCTTCTCTCTAAAGCTTTCAGAGCTGATGGCAAGTTAGACTGCAATTTACATGTAGCATGGAAAGCATGCTGACACATTGGGGTGGGGGTGTTTTAGGGAGACAAATTTGGCTGTTTTGTGCAAGCTGGGTTAGAAAGTCGAAAAGACCAGAGAGGAAGCTGTTGCAAAAAGAGGGGTATAATGAAGGCATCAAACACAAGATAAGAGCCAGGAGGAGATTCCAGATCCTAAAAATATTTCCGCTCCGAAGTGCAGGTGTTGCAGCGTCAGCCAGCCAGCCTACAGGAGGCAGCAGGTTTATGATCTGTTCCACACTTCCCACTGGTGG